GGAGTGAGATCGTGCCCTTGGGGAGTAGGTGGTCCCCTGTGAAGCCATATAGGGGGAATGAGGCAGGCTTCAGGTTTGCCTCATCCAAATTCATTCTTTCGAAAGTTGAAGCGAACAGGATGTTCGCAGCACTTCTGTTGTCCACTAACATTCTCTAGACATTATGACATCCTATGAGGTGCATTATCACAAGACCATCTTCGTGAGGATGATGCAGCCAGGCCACATCTTTTTTCGGAGAAGGAAATTTCCTCTTCCCGATGAACCTTCTATAGTCGTTGTGCTACGCTCATCGTTCTGATGGGCTCGTGATGAGCCTTGCAAACATACCTTTCTTGGGCATCTCGCGAGTTTCCCGTGAAGTGCGGTCCCCCAAAAATCAAATTGAGGGTGCACACTCCTTTCTGATCACGGTGCCTCTTACTTGACTCCCCCTGATTTTTCTCTTGTAAGGGAGCAGAGTTATCAATATACTCCTTGAAGTGTCCCTGCTTGATAAGGTTTTCGATCGCCTGCTTGAGAGCTCGTCATTCATCGGTATGGTGCCCATTGTCCCAATGATAGCGATAATATTTTTTATTATTTTTGGCTGTCACTGGAGTTTTCATGGGCTCGGGCTCGGGCTCTTCGAGCAGGCTGGCCTCCTCAGATTTATCGAGAATAGCTAATACAGATGCGTTCAGTGGAGTATATTGGTTTCTGTCACGATCGCGATGAGGGACAAGAGCATAGGACTTTTTGGGCTCGTAACGAGGTTTCTTCCCTCTTCGCTGATCTTCTACGTCCCCCCTGCGATCAGCTTTTCTACTATCCCGCCGACCAGGTGCACTGCTGAAAGCGCCGTGGTCACGATAGCGGAGTGCCGCCATTGAATTTTCTATTCGGAGGTACTTCTCTGCAAGATTATAGAATCTGGTGAGGGAAACATCGTCCTCAGCCTGTAATTCTTTCCGTAGGTCGGTATGTGGATGGACTCCAGCTATGATGAGAGTCTGAATAAACTCTTTAGGAGTATGAGCCACCTTGTTGAGCCCTTCGTGGAAACGGTCAATGTAGGACTAAAGGGATTCATCTCTTTCTTGCCTTATATTGCTAAGGTAGCTCAAAGGCATCGAGAACTTCCGATTTGCTTGAAAATGCCTCAGGAACGTCGCGCTCATCTGAGGCCACGAACTAATCGATCCCGCTGGGAATGACCTGAACCCCCATTTGGCATGGGAGGTCAAAGTCACTGCCAAATAACAGCATTTTGCTAGATCTGAGACCTGGTGAAGCTCCATCAGGTCGTTAAATTTATACAAATGATCCTGCGGATCGGAGTTCCCATCAAACGCCTGCATGTCGAGCATCCTAAATCCTGGTGGAAGTGGAGCTGCTAACACTTTGGTAGAGAAGGGGGACGCAGATGCGACTTGCCCCTACTCGTTTTGCTGAGCTCGCAGTCTGTCTAGAGCTCGCTGCAACTCCTCAATTTGCGGCAATGGAGCCACTTGGGGATTGTTTTCACCCATGCGAGTTCGACCCTCGCGATTACGGTTGAGGAAAATCTGGAGGTCGGGTTCCTCTTCGCCTCGATCATCGGTTTTGGCCACTTTCGACACACACCGGCTAGAGGCATGTGATGGCGATGAAAGGTGCTGGGTATTTTCACGACCTTCACGGTGGTAACAACCGCCCCGCAAAGTGTGTGACCCTCTCGTACAGTGACGATCAAGATCGTTTTACTGGCAGTGATAAGAATCGCCCTGTCCAGCACTTTTATGGGTGTGCTTTTGCGACTTGGCATGAGACAGCTCGGGCTGCATCCTTCACCAAGTCTCAACGAGACTGGTATTCTGCTCGGGATGCGGTTGGAGTTTGCTGGCCCTTTGGAGCCTGTGGGCTTGCTTTTTGCCACTTGTTTACCCTTTCGTCTACGCGCTGCAGTGCTTGCGGCACGGGCTATTTCCCTTTGCCTCGCTTTCGTGCGACCTGCAGGTGTTTTTTGCGGTTGCACCTCCACAGCTGACTTGGAGGGCATGCCTTGAGCCAAATGGTCCAGCCTTTGGTTGACCGTCTGGAGAGTATTGTCAAACCTCTCCAGGTAGCTTATAATAACAGGGTCAAGCTGTGAACTTGACGGAATATCTCCTGCAGCATTTTGCGAGGCTGAAGTTTTTTTGGAAGAGGTGTACCCCTGAACTTGGGGGAGCCCCTCAGCGCCTTGGTTGGTTTGCTCAGGTTCTGGTTGGCGGGCCATTTGTTGCTGTAGGACTGATAGGTTGGAGATTTGTAATGACTGTTTTCTTCTCGTATTCTCATAAAATATGCATTGTAAAATATATGTAAAATAGTATAAAAAGTTGGGCCCAAATTTTTCTTTTATTAAACATATACATTCTTTGTACAAAACTCATGTCATATACAAAACTATGGACAATAAAGTGGACAGTGTAGCCATTTCCCTTCGCTTTCTGACATCCATCCGATCGTGTCCTCACCTAGATCCTGCAAAAACATAGGAAACAACGGGGTGAGTACAAAACAATGCTCAGTAAGTAAATCCTCTACTTATCTATCCCCGTAACTCTTTCTTCTCAATTCTTTCCTTACAATTCCCATTACTCTCTTTGCTTTCTCTTTCGGTTTCTCTCTCTCTGTTTCTCTTTCTTTTCTATTAACTCTCTCTCTAGCAAGTCACGGCCCCATCTGACCGGAGGCACGGCTGGGACTCATTCCCACTCTCCATGACTTTTACTTATTCTGGCCGATCAGACTCAATTATGCATGGATTCGGAACCCTTGGCCATGTGAGTGTATAAAACTCTCTCTTGGGTAAACTCGAGTATAACCCTCATCCGCATGCACCCTCACGGGCTACACCACTTCTCTCTCTATTACTCATGCCGTTCTCTCAATGCGGCGTACATGCGGGAATACTCTACCCATACTCACAGGTTCCCCATCGCATAACCTACTCTATTCTCTTGTCTAGCACTACTTTCTCTTTATTCTCTACTACTCATTCTCTCATTCTCTCTACTCTTAGAATAGTTTAAACTCAATTTCTCTACTCTCTTTTTCTAATGCATAATTAATGCATGATTAATGCACATAGGTGACTCATGTTCATTAATGCACTTATGAGATGCAATTATGCTATGTAGCGAAATTTACGGCTTTCTACTCTTACTCATGCTTCTCTTGAGCATTTCATTATACAACTCATATGCATATAAAGCTCTACTTTAACTATAACTTTTCTCTTTTCTTTAATCATCCAAAATGGGAGAGAGGCTCCCTTATACTCTCTAATTTCCCTGTCAAAGGAAAACACTTCTATAAATTTGCTCAAAACTTCATTCCACTTCAATCAAACTCAACCCAACATCAAGCAATCTCAACGCTTCTCATATTTAAATATATGCAACAACAAGTATAAATAACATCCATCTCATCTCAATTTCTCAACAACATACTTACACATACATAAATCTATACTCAAAAGATTTCTTAAATCTCAACTTGGTTGGATTTACTTACCTTGTGAGGAAATAGCTTCTCTAATACTTCTCCTTTCCTTTGATAGCTTAATTTCTCTCTAAATAACAACCACAACATAAGACTTTAACCAAAACATAATAAAACTCTCATCTAAAGCAAGAATCCTTACCTTAGGATACTTTAGATTAAAACTATACTAAAAACTACTCAAAAAGTCCTTAGAAATCCTTGGAAGATTGAAGGAAATTTGAGAAGAAGTAGAGAATGGAAGAGGCGGTGGAAATGGATGAAATGAAGGGTTCTCTACACTTAACCCTTTTTAGCTCAACTTATACACAAGCATTCCCATTTTGCCCTTACTCTTTCTTAAAAATTTCATCCATATCCTTTGATTTCTTACAATCACACCCCCATACTAATATATTCTCCATGAAATTTTCTTACATTTTACTCCCAATTTTTCCTGCTAATTAGGGATAGAATGGTCAAATTGCCCTTAAGAAGAAAATATCTAAACCTTAATAACATTTTTCAGTCGACCTGTCGCCGCGGCGAAGACAAATCCGTCGCCGCGGCGAAACACTCCAGCAGCTACTCTATGGGCTACAGCACCTCTTCGTCGCGACGAAGATTCTTCTTCGCCCCAGCAAAGCCTGTAACACAACATTTTGCCAAGTCTTCATAATTTTCAGGACAATCACTCAACCAACCCAATACATTCATTCAACCAAGGGCCAACCAAACCAAAATAACAACATATAAACTTACTTGAAGCTGAACCAATAAACATTTAAGCAATACAGTGAATCTTAACTACGTACCTCAAGTGGGGCGTTACAAGATTCTCCTGATGAAGGATGAACACTAAATCAGCCCTCCTTCTAGCGTCAAACTGTTGATGCGTGATTTTGACACAAACGAAACGCACCTGTGAAATGTTGAGTTGGCCCCAAAAGACACACGTGAATGGTTTGGAAAAATGAAAGTAAATGCAGTGAGGAAGGAGTTTTAAAGTGGTTCGGATGCTAAGGAAGCAAATCCTACGTCCACTGATGTTTTTATTAATGATAAGGGTCAGGTCGCTTTAGACGACTGACTTTACACTGATGATACAAGGTATCAAAGACTATCTATTATAGAGAGAGAGAGAGAGTTTTTGTCAAGAGTAAAATGTGTGAATCCCCTTAATGAGAGAGGAGCTCTCATTTTATAGTGGGATGTCTTGAGGTAATGATCATTGAATCTGCAAGTTGGCAGGATGATCCGTGCAAATCCTTCTTTTAGAGCAATTCACGTGATTTGTTGCAGGGATTTGACACGCGGGATCATCACAACTCTTTGCTGGCCTGACGTGCATCCATTACTCTGATGAAGGCAAGCTGTGGGTGCCACCATGATCACACGAAGCAGCTGCGTCAGAATGACATAGGCTCTTCCCGAGGTCTGACCTTTCGCACTTAACTGGGTGCCACATCAGCCCTATCGTTCCCAGGCATAACAAATGCCTTTACAATCTCTCCCAATGTCATATTGAGTGGCTGGTGCTTCTTCGACATTTAGATAGATAGCTCATTTCACGATGAGAGATATAAAATCGGGTTAGAACAAAAGCTAGCTTCAAAGTGGTCTTTCTGGCTGCTTGGTTTATGTAAGAATAGAGTGCGGCTAGAAGCGGAGATTCTTCATCCTTTTTCTCTCCTTGACCTTGACAATCCAACAAGCTTTTAGTTGGCCTGCGTGAAGGTTGTTTTGTTTTGGTACAGCCAGATCCGCTTTGAGTGCCGTGGGATAGAGAGAGGTGTTTTTGAAGTTGAAGAAAAGAGTGAAATAATTTTCTCTAGATATTCTATGATCATTTGAAGCCTCTCATGTGAAAATAATTTTCCAACTGGCTTCGTATCCAGGAATATTTTCTTGGTGTAATAGCACGAATTTTTCATGTTCATTTGCTCCTAACACCAGTTAGCGGAAGTGTCTTCTTCTTCTCTTCTACAAGCTGGTGAGTTAAATCTACATACTTAACAAAACCTTCAATACACTGTCATTAATACTTTTCACCGATTACGATGTGTGGTTATGTGTTTAGAAGGCTAGTATGTGCACAAGTTTTACCAGATATTTATAGGTGTGTCATGCAAAATTTAGGCACTAATCATGTGGTTTTGTGTTTGAGTTTGTTGCCCACTAGCATTAGATTATTCTCCACCAAAATCGAACAAGTTAGAGAGGATTACTTATTTGCCGTGTCATACCTCATAAATTCATGTGGGTTGTCCCCAGAAATAGCAAAATCTGTCTCCAAAAGAATCAAGCTTCAATCTACTCAACAACCAGATTCGATCTTGAAAGTTCTAAGAAACCGTGGATTTACGACTGCCCATATAACCAAACTTGTTAGAATGCGCCCTGGTATACTTTTAGCCAATCCTGAGAGGTCAATTTTGCCAAAATTTGAGTTTTTCAACTCTTTGGGGATCACAGATGCTGAGCTTGCAGGTGTTTGCTCTTCAACTCTAGCTATTTTGGGTCACAGTTTAAAGAACCTACTCATTCCTAACGTCAAATTCCTCAAAAGTGTGCTCATCTCTAATGCTAATGTTGTTAAATCATTTAGAAAAAAATCATGGCTCTTTCAGCAAGATATGGCAAAGACTGTGTCTCCAAAACTTGAGGTCCTAAGAGAACTTGGAATGCCTGAGCATTTCGTTGCATTGATTTTAACATGTTATGCCCCTATAGTCCTCCAAAAACGTGAGAAGTTTGACAAAAATGTCAAGAAGGTTATTGAAATGGGTTTTGATCCTCAGAAATGTAGGTTCATCCATGCAATGCAGGTGTTTGTCTCAATGAGACAATCAACTTTGGAATAGAAATTTGACATTTTCAGGGGGTGGGGGTGGTCTGATGAGGACATTATGCTGGTTTTCGGAAAATGCCCCAATTGTATGAATGCCTCTGAAAGAAAAATAATGAGTGCAATGGATTTTCTTGTGAACAAGATGGGTTGGCAGTCCACATATATTACCTTGTTTCCAGACGTTTTCCTTATGAATCTGGAAAAGAGGATAATGCCAAGGTGTTTGGTTATTAAAGTTCTGCAATCGAAGGGGTTGGTGAAGAAAAAATTGAGCCTAAGTCCATGTGTAAAACCTGTTGAGAAGCTATTCTTGGATAAGTTTGTGACAAAATACTTGGACCAGGTTCCTGAATTGATGAATATCTATCAAAGGAAGGAAGGCTTTCAGGCTCTGGATATCTTCCAGCAAACTGTAGCATGCCAACATTCCAAACCTAAACGATTGTATAATCTCTAATTGGTGATTATCACATTTCAGCATTTTAGTTTATTGAACAATGTTGAATTACTTCTGTTAGTTATGCAGAGCAACATTGTTTTCATCACTTTCAAAATTGCAGTTGATTTTATACTTTAGTTCATATTTAGAATGTGGTAAACTTTTAAGCTAATTTGTTACATGACTAGTAGATGTAGTCCTGAATCTCAATTATGTGGTCTTGATTTACTCTAGGTCCCTGGAGTTCCTAACAAGCCCTTCCTTGCTAGCAAATTACAGTGAAGCTTGGAGGTCAGAGAAAGAGATGAATCAGTGATATTGATTGACTTGAACAGTATTATAGATATGATGATGTGATATTTTTGCCTGTACATGTTCTTTGTTTGGTTGACGTGTGCTCCTGTATAATTGTAATTGCAATATTTTATCAATCTCCATTGCATTAGAGGCTGATTTCAGATATATAGCGATGAAGTAAATTCCTTGTGGGAAAGAGGATATATTTATTGATAGGTGGTAGTCTTGCTTAACTTGAACTATATTTTGGAATGAATTTGATGTCCAGATCAAGATTTTCTAGAACTCCAAGATTTGGTTCATGTATTCACCTTTTAAATTTTAATTGCAGCAAGGCAAAGATGTTTTGAGATAGTTGTAAGATTTAACTGTCCCTTGTTTACTTTTAGAAATTAGAACAAAATATAAGTTTATATTCAATATTTATATGGTCATTTTAGAATGTGTTGTATAATAATCACTTTATTTAATAATATTCTCAATTTATATTAGATAACTTGTTTGTATCTTTAATATTAGTAAAATAAATTTAATTTTAGAAATTAAAAAAATGCTACATAAAAATTAACGATTAGAAGGTATATTGGTTAAATATAATATTATGAAATAAATAAATGTAAAAGTTTAGAAGTATTGCACTAAGTAAATTTCAAACTGGTTGTACTTGTAGTTGTACTTGAAAGCTGAGACAAAAAAAAAAAAAAAAAAAAAAAAAAAAAAAAAATTATAAAAGAATCTGATGAGTAAATAAGGTGATTGGGTGACAAAAGAGTAAGGAAGAAGTTTGTATGATCTCTCAAATTTGAATCTTATTGATGGTAAGAAAGCAAGAATAGTCTCTAACATCATCTTTTGAGTTCCCACTGCACTTAATAGGGGTGGTTACTTGATTTCTTACTTTGTCGATAATTCTATAATTTCCGAGGTTTGAGTCTCACACCACCTATCAGGGATAGGGATGGGCGCAGGGCGGGTCGGGGACCCCATTCCCCGTTACCCACTCCCATGACCATCCCCGTGGGCAGGGATTTTTCTTATAACCGTCCCCAGTCCGTGGGGATGGAATCACTCCCATCCCCGTCTCGGCTCGACCTGATGAATAGGGTTTCACGGGGAATTTTTTGTGCGAGGATTTTTGCCTCGCGTAGATCAAAACTTTCCGCATGTTCTCACGACAATGATATTAAATTATTATAATTATTTTAATTGTGAGAAACTAGCACATTAGTATGTACTATATTTGACTGCTTAATTTTAGTAATTAATTCATTAAAAATGCTAAATTTAAGGTAAGAAAATATAAAATCAACAATTCTTTGTAAAATTTAAATTAAGATTTAAAAAGCAATACATAACTACCACTGTAAACTAATTTAATTGTTACTAAGTTAGTGACACATTTTCTATATAGTATTAAATAGAGGAATTTAGATTCCACATTCTAATGTTTTATGTTGCTGAGATGTGTAATGTTCCACTGAAATAGTCTCATCTACTAAAATTCATAAAATAAATACCTGAAAGAAAATTTCGCTGAGAATTGATATAAATATGGTGAATAACAACAATTTCTTAACAAAAATTGGAACATGCTCATGGATTTCAAAATAATAAAATATAAACATCTTTCAGGTTGCAACATAAACCTCATAATATACTCAAATCATCCATTGCAACATAAACCTCATAATATATTAGTTTGGTAAATTATAATAATCTAATAAAAAAAAAATTTGGGCCATGTATTATTATTTTGTGAAATTCACAAAGTAATAATACATATATTTAATTATTAGACTCCTTCATTTAAATTATTTTTCTATAAATTTAATATAAACATTAGAAAGTATTATAAAATTAAATATCATAAATTTAGATACATTACTTAAAATCATGATTTAAACTCTAATTTTATATACAATCTCGCAAAGGGAACAAAACAAAAAAACATAAAATTTTAAAAAAAGCGGGGTGGGGCGGGGCAAGCGGGGACGGTCGGGCTGAGGATTGCACTATCCCCTCCCCCGACCTGTCCTTGGGTGTGAGGATTTTTCTGAGGACCATCCCCGACCCTATCCCCGAATTTTTCAGGGATTCCCCACCCCATTCGGGTCGGGCCGAGGCAAACGCCCAACTCTAATCAGGGAGACCATTGAAACTGATAACCAACATTTTTTTTTATCATAAATGTACCAAATTTATAAGAAAGTTGCGCGGCCCTCAGTAGGGATGGGCACGAGCCGGGGCGGGGCCGGGGACCCCTGTCTCTAGCCCCGGCCTGAAAGCCCAAGGGGATTCCCTGATCTCGGCCCAAAGCCTGTTTGGGGAATTCAGGGAATCCCCGAAAAAAAACCCGTTCCCATCCCCAAATTTCCTGTTTGGGGGTTTTCTATCTTTTTGCATCCTTATTAGTTTTATTATCATTTTCTCCAAATTATATATACCAACAAAAAAAAAAAAATTAAATATATAATATACATATTAAACATAAAGACCATATCATCAAAAAAGAAATTAAATTTATAATGTCCATATTAAATATAAAAACCATCATACTAAATTGATAATATATTACAATATGTGATAAATCTATAATCAAAAGATTCAAAACATGATAATATCAAGATTCAAAACATGAGTTGCCAAAAAGACCCACCCCACAATTATACATATTAGTATTTTTTTGTTAAAATGCCCACCCTCAACAAGTGTTGAATCCGCCCCTGATTAATGATTATAATGAATCCAAATATCAAAATGATAATTATAATACATTATACATACTTATAAATATATTATATATTAACAGTATAATATTATATATTATTGTATTAAATAATAAGTATTAACATATATAATGTCTCATTAATATATAATGTATTACATATGATACATTATACATATATATTATAATAAATAACTACCATATATATTATAATAAATTCTAAATAAATAGTTATCATAATATAACAAAGACAATTAGGTAATAGAATTGAAATAATGATTCAATGAGGGACAAAAAAAAAATTATAATGATTTATTGATCCATTATAATTAATCAAAACAACAAATAATATATTACATATATATTATGTATTAACGTAAGATTATAGATAATAGCATATTATGTATAAATTATAATGTACAACATATATATGTTATATATATTATACTTATATAGTATATATCACATCTAATATACAATTTATAATGTATAATGTATACCATATATAATGTATAATAGATAATGTCGAATGTACAACTTTTGTTTCATAGTATTAACATATTATGTATAATATATATATTTTACAAATATTTATAATGATTTATTATATTTAATCTAGTTTTATTTATTACCTATTTGTATATAGTTTCATAAAATACTTACATAATTATAATTTGTCATTGTATAATGTATGATTGATTTTCAAATATTAAAATTGTTATAAGTATATATGATTGATTTTCAAATATTAAAATTAATATAGGCATATATGATTGATTTTTAATTATTAAAATTAATATATATATATATATACGGGCCGGGGCGAGACCTATCCCGATCTATTCCCGAATTTTGGGGCTAATCTTAGACCCAATCTTGACCTAAAACCAAATGGTTAGGGAAAATCTGTACCGTTCGGACTGAGCTTTGTGCCCATCCCTAGCCCTCAGGGACAAAGTTGTCATTATCCCTCTCCGACCGAGGCTCTGGTGCATGCATTGGCCCACTTGGCAATGCCAAGAATGGTGCGGAGATTCAGTGTTGACGTTGAAACGGTTAAATTTGAACGTCATAACTGTGCTGAAGATTCCATCGATTTGCGCTATAACTACAACACCTAGGGTCTTATGACCCTTATCTAAGTAGCTGTAGCAGAATCAATGATTTTGAAGAAAAATTGGAGACATTAGGGTTTCGAGGTTCAATTATCAATGGTGGAGAGACGGAAACCTCTGTTACTCTCTTCAACTAAAATTCTCATTAATTCCTTGCTCAATTCCAGTTCGACTTCTCAACCACGACTTAATGTCGATGGAGATAAACTCCTTACCCATCAAGTCTCGCCTACTTTACACTTACCTGCCGGAATTCTCCGGTTTTCAAAGGACAAATTTGATACCAAATTAGCTTCACTCGACGATAATTCTTTGCTCGGCCTTTCAGTTTCTGTTTTGAAAAGACTCTCTTTAACTTCTGGCTCACTTGTAAGTTTCCTATTCTTTTGCGTTTTCGTCTTTGTTTGCTTCATGAAATATGAGATGAAGCTTCCCATCAAACTAAGGTTTATTTATATTTCAAGATTATAAATGCTTCTTAAGTGTTTGCCATTCACTAAGTTTATCTGACTTCATGTACATTCAATTTTAATAATTATCTACACTGTTCAATGCGGTGAATTTCCCACCAGTATTCATTTTGCTCAATTTCTTATGTAGCTTTCTAATTATCTTTTTGGTTTATAAACTTGCAAGGTGCTTGTCAAGAATGTTGAAACAAACATTCAAAGAATTGCGCAGGTTGTTGTTCTAGATCCTCCAAATACCCATAAAGAAATTTCTCCTGAAAACTTATCTGCTAAAAACCCTCCACGTGTGATGCTTTCTTTTCCTTCGTATCATTTACCCCAAAATGACACCATGTCGCTGGACCAAGAAATCGCCTATCTGTCTCCACTCTTAGCTTTTAACCTAGACTTGCACTTATCTTGCTTGAAATCTATTGTCCACCAAGGGAAAGAAATTTTAGCATCATTGTTTAAAGAAAAAGTTGACGATGAGACTTGTTCATTAATCAGTTTAGGGTTGGAAACTTTGGGAAAACTTCCAAGATATGCCTCCCACTTGAGGGTTTCATTCATCAAGATACCAGAATGTGGTACTCTTGAATCTTTGAAAGGAAGTTCACCTGTTGAAGCTGAAGATCGCCAAGAAATGATTGATATGGCATTACATAACTACTTTGAAGTGGATAGATACCTAGCAAGAGGTGATGTTTTCAGCATCTGCCCAAATTGGAACTGCAATTCAATTACTTGCATTCCTTGCAGTCAAAGGTTGCAAAATAGAAGTGATAGCATCATTTACTTCAAGGTAAGCTTCCTCTGTTACGTCCTTAGTGGCTCCACATGCTCGAGGGCTCTCATCTATAGGCAGTTGATGTTCTCAGGTTGTGGCTATGGAACCATCAGATGAAGCAGTTCTTCGAGTTAATTGCACCCAAACTGCTCTTGTGCTTGGAGGGAGTATTCCATCTGCTATTCCACCAGATCTATTGATTTCTGGATCAAATGGTTTTGCACCTTTGCAAGGGGACACAGTGAAACTTTTGGCCACCATACTTACTCCACCTCTATGCCCATCAGTGCTTTCGACAAAATTCAGAGTTGCTGTTCTACTACATGGCCTGCCAGGTGTGTTTCATGCTTCGTGATTTATTTTTGGCATCAAATACACAAGTTTAATTTTTAATTTTTTTATTATTGTAATCCTCATTGATTTTGTTGGAAGAACAATTATCAATGTTTTTGCACCCTTACGCTCATCCCTCCAAGTCACCGGTGTCAGTGAGGTTTGATCCCAGGACATCTTGTACAATCCGAGAGTCTCAACCACCTGAACTAATTAATATGCACAATTATTAGTTATAATTACAAACTGATTTCCAAAACTAGATGTCCTTTATAATTGATAGCATATGAATTCATGTTTGTACATTAGCGTTGTACAGTGCTGATTAAATGCTTGTTTCAGGGTGTGGCAAGAGAACTGTTGTTAGATATGTTGCTCGTAGGTTGGGGTTGCATGTAGTGGAATATAGCTGTCATAGTTTAATGGCATCCTCTGAGAGAAAGACATCTGCTGCTCTGGCTCAAGCTTTCAACACAGCTCAAAGGTGAAGCAGTTGACATGTTGGGTATGATATATGCAAGTTATTGTGTAACTCGTGAACTATGCCATATTGTCTTTGCTTGGTAGTAGACAAAGGTGCTGTGGAATATGAGGCACATATGATTGTACTTTGAAACTCCAATTCATTTGTTCTTTCAATAGATGTCCTGTATTTCAGTAATTTGCAGCAACTAATCTTACATTTGATTTTTTATTTTAATTTTAATCACATTATGCTCATTTTAGTACAGGAAACTGTCTAGACTTTATTATCTGTGGCATTTTTCCAATAGTATTCTCATGTTGATTTAGAGATTTCTCTTGTATGGTTCTTGATTATTATCTAAGATTTATTATCAGACTGTAGGAATATAACTATACTTTTTGTGGCTTTCCACTCGTGTCATTGCCATCATGTGTTCCTCATATACTGATCTTTTGACAGATACTCACCAACAGTTCTTCTTCTCCGTGATTTTGATGTTTTCCGTAATTCTGTCTCTGGTGAGGGGTTACCTAATGATCAAGTTGGTCTCTCCTCTGAAGTTGCATCTGTTATTAGGGAATTCACTGAGCCAGTTGCTGAAGATGAAGACAACTATGCAGATGAAGAATCACACGGTGATTTTGTAAGTCTCATCTATTTCATTGTGCCATCTTCTTCTTTGTTTTGAAATATTTTTTTTTTTTTTAATTATTATTATTTCAGTCACTTGGTTAAGTCATTAGATTGGGTTTTGGAAGTACGTTTGTGTAGTTTATCTCTTGCATCATCCCCTTCTAGAAGTATGGAATGAGAGAATATAATTTGTGACATTTTTTACTCTTTCAAAAAGCTTGAATTTGTCACTAATTTAAATATCTTTGGGAGTGCTTATGTATGTATATTATTTAGCTTAGAGAGTACAATTGAGAGGGGACAAATTCAAGTAAAAAAGAATGGGAAAAATCAATTTTCACAATTATGCTTGCAATTTATTCTCCAGAATATTACTTGCAGTGCTTTAAGTCTTGTCAACATTGTCAATACTTATACTGGCTAATGCAACCTGTAAAGGACATTGGAAAGATACACAGACAACAGGTACTATTGGTTGCTGCTGCTGAAAGTTCTGAGGGTTTGCCGCCAGCTATTCGGAGATGCTTCAGCCACGAAATAAGTATGGGCCCTTTAACTGAAGATCAGAGGGTTGAAATGCTGTCCCAGTTGCTGCTAGGCGTTTCTGAACTCCTCTCTAACGTATGTGAAGAAAAATGTTCCTGTTATGTTTGAGTTTCTTGAAGAAACTATGTCTGATATTACTGATAGAAATATTGTGTCCATCAGTGGGATAAAAAATTGTTGTTGTCTTGTCTGCATCTTTACATGTTTCATGCATGTTTCATTGCAGCATTGTTGGACCCACATCCAGGGTAAAGCGACATTATTCAAAATCTATCTTTATCTATTAATATATTGTTTGACAACATGTTTATAAAAATCCCAAAATAGTGACAGACTATTTGATATATCAATTGGAAAAAAAAAATTCAGGTTTTAAAATCCCAAAATGATGACATGGACTGTTTAAATTATCAGGTGTGAAAAAAAAAAAAAAAAATCTTGCGTTCTTCCTGGGACCTGCTATTGAATGATTAAATTTGTGGAAGATGCATTTGCTATTTCATTTGTTGACATCATTAAGGATCCACATGAAGTAATTTTTTATCACTGAAAATAATGTTTCACAAGTTGATTATATTTTTGAATATAATGGTGAGATTGTTGCCTCTTGTAGACTGGTTCAGAGGAATTTATAAAGGACATTATTGGACAGACATCTGGATTCATGCCCAGGGATTTGCAGGCTTTAGTTGCTGATGCTGGTGTGAACTTACAACAGAAGAGCAATTTTCAAATTGACAAAGCTGAGCACAGGGAATCATATAGTTCTCTTAAAGTCAAGTCAGTGCAAGACAATAAATCATCTGCTGCTGGAGATCAGGTCATGGGGAAAGATGACTTGGTCAAATCATTGGAGCGATCCAAGAAGAGAAATGCATCAGCTTTAGGTGCTCCAAAGGTAACTGAGAAAAAGAAATTTGCACGGTAATATCATGTCGATATACGCACTGTGTCTTTTTGCAGACTGACATAAATGTATTTTTCCTTTTGCCCATATTTCAAAGGAATGGTGAGCAAGCTGGAAAACTTTTTCCCGATTTGAGTAAATTATTGCTGAAAGATTCTTGAGTATGGATTCTTCTGTTGCAGGTTCCCAATGTGAAATGGGAAGATGTTGGTGGGCTTGAGGATGTGAAGAAATCAATTTTGGATACTGTTCAGGTACGACACTTATCCATCTCTACTCTTTCTATATGTGTAGATCAATTCCAGCCTGAATTTTTAAATTTTATCGAGTTCTAAAAGCATACAAATATTCTTTTTTCTTCTAGGAGTGTTTATTAATTTTTAAATTTTGTCGAGTTCTAAAAACATACAAATATTCTTTTTTCTTCTAGGAGTGTTTATTAATTTTTAAATTTTTAAATTTTATCGAGTTCTAAAAACATACAAATATTATTTTTTCTTCTAGGAGTGTTTATTAATTAAAAATTAATCCACACATGTCAAGTGTTAAACATACTCAACTTCTAGGCACTAGCTGAAAGATAAGCTTAAAAATACTGAAAAAAAATAATTTGCAATTCGATAATGCATACACCGGACTGTTTATTTTTTCTAACAAGTCAATGTAGACAATTAGAAAGTTATCAATATATACAGGGATGCGCTTTTTGGAGAATTATACAGATCTAAGAATGAGATGTTAGTATACTGTCAACTTATAATTCAAGTTACTACAAGTTCAATGTGAGGCACTGGAGTGTCTGCTAGGTTGAATAGGAATGAAATTAATAGGCAATATCTTAGTTGGTATCTATGTTAAAAAGGATGAAGATGATTCAGGAATGAAGGTAATATATAAACAGAGAGAGATTGATTATTAAGTATGTTTGTCTTGTTCTGTCAGTGCTGTAAAAAGAGTATAAGGCTCTTCAGCATTTTCTGCACATTGTGTTGTTTCTGCCCATGAAAATCTTATTCATTCTACTTTTGTTTCATTTATTTTTTGCTAGATATCCTATGAGCTTCCCATTAGCTTTCACTTACTAGTTACTAGTCCTGAATTGTTTAATCTTTATTAGTTAAAAATTTGCAGTTACCTCTGCTGCATAAGGATTTGTTTTCTTCTGGGTTGCGAAAGCGATCTGGTGTTCTTTTATATGGTCCTCCTGGAACAGGGAAAGTAAGTTCAATCTATTAGCTATTTAAAATGATTTCTCAGTTAAAAATTTACTTTGTAGCCTTTCTTATTGTTCTTTTGTCAAATGTCAGACTTTATTGGCTAAAGCTGTGGCAACAGAGTGTTCCCTAAATTTTCTTAGCGTGAAAGGGCCTGAACTTATTAACATGTACATTGGAGAGTCAGAGAAAAATGTTCGAGACATTTTCCAGAAGGTTAAAATATTCTTTATCTTCCAATTTATTTTCCAACAGAGTGTACAAATATCTTTTAAAAATTTGGTTTCAGAACATATGGTGCCCTCTATTCATGATTTACCTGTTTCACAGGCCAGATCAGCACGCCCATGTGTCATCTTCTTTGATGAACTTGATTCTCTTGCTCCTGCTCGAGGTGCGTCTGGGGATTCTGGGGGTGTTATGGATAGAGTGGTTTCTCAAGTAAAGACACGTTGACTATGATCTTGGTTGATTGGTTTCTATATTTGCACCAATGGTTAATTAACTGGTTAATTTCTCTTGTTACTAGATGCTTGCTGAGATTGATGGTCTAAATGATTCTACGCAGGTTATTTACCCACCATACACAACACCCTCTTTACTGGATTGCTGTAATTTCTTTTTCTATTTTGCTTCTGATGCAAAAAGATGACATAACTCTTTTGCCTTCCTGGTTCTCTAGGACTTATTTATTATAGGTGCAAGCAACAGACCTGATCTTATTGATCCAGCACTTCTACGCCCTGGTCGATTCGATAAGCTTCTATATGTCGGTGTTAACTCTGATGCGTCTTACAGGGAGCGGTTAGTATATTTCTTTTAATGTAATTTTCCTTTCATGATTTAATATAATATATATGTTGAATTGATGATCTTACTCCTGTGCCTCATCAATTTCCACTTTTAGGGTCCTTAAAGCACTTACCAGAAAGTTTAAATTGCATGAGGATGTATCTCTTTATTCAATAGCAAAGAAATGTCCTCCAAACTTTACTGGTGCAGACATGTATGCCTTATGTGCAGACGCCTGGTTTCATGCTGCAAAGCGTAAGGTGAGCCAACCTCGCATCACTCACTGAAGTAAACTCTGTACAGGTTTATTTACCCTGTCAAGTTGTTGATGATTAAAATAAGTAGATTCGTGCTGAGTGTTGGCTCATTTTTATCTTACATCTAATAAGATTTATCTTGGATTTTGAGCTATGACTGAATTGACGTAGGAAACATTGACACATTTTAACTTCTCTTGGAAGATTCATAGTTTGTGCAATGCATTGAGCAGGTGTTTGAACTAGGTCTTTTGTTGTAGGTTTTGAGTTCAGATTCAGATTCTTCTTCCATAGATCAAGTTGACTCTGTTGTGGTCGAGTTTGCCGATTTTGTGAAGGTACGAAATAATTGTTCCCTGGTTAGGTGATGCTTGAGGGTAAACTACTTTTATAAATTTTTATGCTTTTGAATGACAATAATGAAGAAATTTATTGAAAGAATGATAGCCAAGGCATGAAGACATGTTATTGGGATATTTTGGGATGCGTCCGAACGTCTGTCTGAGTTCTAACCACAAATAATGCATTTTATCTAATAGATTTTGTCGTGCTAATCATGGCTATGCATGTGAGAATATGTCATGTGTGTTTGTAACCTGATTATGCAGGTCTTGAAAGAGCTATCACCCTCACTTTCCGTAGCGGAGTTGAAGAAGTACGAGTTGCTACGAGATCAATTTGAAGGTGCTTCTAGCTGAAGAATATCTGATCAAGCATTGTAATACTTTTTGGGTTGCATCATTTTGTTCAAGTATCGTGAGATTGCAGATTTTTTTATTATATTTTTGTGTACTGTCATATCATGGGTTCTATAATTTTTTTACTTCAAATAATAATAAGTGAGGCAGGGTTCTATAATCATTTTTCTCCAAATAATAATAATAGAATGCATTATTATGTTCCATATTGAAATTTTTTAAAAGATATTTCCAGAAAGTAGGTGGTACAAGTTTGGAAAATCAACGTTAATTTAAAATAAACAGAAGATCAGTACGTAGTACTATAGACTTTATGGTGCGCTCGTAAAGAGATGGTTTCTTGTTGATTTTGCTTGAAGCACGAATCAACGAGCTGACGTAATATGAATAAAATAATAGTGATTGGTTGTCATTTTGGGTTTAGTAATCCTCATTAAATTATACTTGTACATGCATGTTGGTGATAAATGTTAGCGATTTTCTTCTTGTTTTTCACAGAACAATTTGGAATTGAATAGTATCCATCCCTTGCCAGTACTTACATGTAACAATCACAAAGAAAAAGGAAATCTTGATAACTCTGACAAACACCCCAATGGTTCTTATCTATAGTATATTAAAGATTAATAAATGCCTTTTCTATTCAAAACTTTGAAGATGACGAAATAAAATAAAAAACAAAAGAGACCCAGAGCCACACAAGGCTAGTGGTAAAAGACTAGTTTTTATGTCAACTAAAACAAAAAAGAGATTGTGAAAGAGCCATCACCCTCAGCGTCCATGGCGGAGTTGAATAAGTATGAGTTGCTTCAAACATAATTAGCGATTAATGGAGGGAAGAACAGGGGGTTGGCATATTGTTTTTACAGTATGATTCCAGGTAATGTAATAAAACAAAAATAACAGTTTAGTTGAAGGTACAATATGGGGTGTCAAATTGGCAAATATTCCTTCCTTGTTATGGGTGTCATAACGTGTGAGGCTGCGTATTTCATGTAACCAATTAATACCTGAGTTGAATTGCTGTGGATTGATTCCAAATTAGAATGTAACATACATACATAATAATACTGGTCAATCTGTCAAATCCTAGAAAACATACAAGGGCATAAGTCCCAGTATATTCTCACCAAGTATATTCCTCTTCCCACAAATGATATCAATACACACACGCTTGACCTCCTTCAAAATTAAACAAAAATATTACTACATAAATTATAATAATTTGGTAAAGTTAGTGTTGATGTGAAAGGTGAATGAACAAATTAATAATAAATCAAAATCGAAAACATATTCTATCCTTTTGTATCGAGTATCTTCCACGTAATCATAAGTTGGATAACTGATGATAGATATACTTATCTTACGTTTAATTTTACTCTTACATAAGATTGAGATTGAAGGCAAGACATGTAGGATAGGGTCCCATTTTCATAATCTATAGTACTTACCTTATGAGACTCTTAACTCAATTTAACTGTTGATTTGGAAATCAATTCTTAATTATTATCATTCAAATTTAAGATTAAAACCACTTGTTGATTGATGTTATGAAAATGAGGATGATAACATTTATGACCCATTGAATTGAGGTATAAATTCTGACCCCACACTTTGTAGCTCGTGAATCTCATGTTTTTATTCTTATTTTATATCTTATTATCAATCATATTACTACCATGTATTATTTTTATTTCTTTTTTGTTAGACATAATAATACGTTTATAAATCATTATTAGGTGACTTGATGGTAAATGAGCATAAGAAGATTTTATGAGTTTTTGAGTTCGAGACCCTTAGATATTAATAGAGTTGCTTATTGGGACTTTTACCTAACTAACAGTTTTAGAATTCTAAGTAATTAATTGAAGTTCGTGCAAACTAATCTAAACACCGATGATAAAATAATAATAATAGGCTTGTAAATAAATGATTGCTTGAAGCAGGACTGTAATGTAAATAAATGGAAGAATAAAATAATAGTAATTGGTAGAAGATTTAGTTCCCAAATTGAATATACTACGTTAGAATTTATTCCAAAGAAGAGATAAAAGAGTTACATAACCAATTGACATGCACTTTGAAGATGACGAAAAAAGACCAGAGCCACACAAAGGTGGGGGGGTAATATTGTCTATAAGAATAGTTAATTGGTCAACGAAACCAAAGAGAGAGCTTCTGTTCTGCTTCCCTTTACCAAACTGTGGGGTAACTCCAAATTCCTCAAATTTAAACACTTACAATTATCCATAAATATTTCATTTTCATGTCATGTCGGGTAACCTATTCCATACACCTCACTCTCACGCGCCTTCCCCCCTCCACGCGCTATTCGACTACATCAAATATAATAAATAATTAATGTGATAAGATTTTGATGAATAATTAATATAGTACACATGTATTAAATGACCTTATCATAATATTTGGCAGTGAAGATTTAGCTTCAATTTTTTCCAACCTCTCTGAAATATTGATAGTACTATTTAAGATTGAATTGAATTACTAATAGATAAGATTAGTTTGAAGTTTAAACTGACTAAAATACACGGGCTAGGAGTGCGTCTGATATGGGCATATCGCAACCAATTAACTTAGCTTTCGGACAAGGGTTTCACAGTAAAACTGAAAACCAAAAAAATTTCATTTATAAAAATAAATAAAATTTTGGTCAGTCCGTTTGCTTTTATAACTTAAAAAGCAAAACAAATTAATTAAAAGAAAGGAAGAAAACAAAAGAAACAAAAGATTAAAAAAATAAATTAAAATAAACGCGGCTGCTGTATACACCAAAACCAGAGAAGACTCTCTCTCTTTCTTTCTCTCTGTGCTATTTGATTCCAGCTAAAGAGATCGCACCAAAACAATTCTAAAAACCTCAACCCAAAATATCGAATAAATTTTACGAAAGATCCTGCTGGTTAAACAGCTTGATTTCCGAAAATCAATTTAAAAAAAAAAAAAAAACAACTTTTTAGTTTTGGTTTTCTGTTAATTTTCTTTAGATTCGTGATCGGGTTTGTTTTTGATCTAATTAGGATAAATCCTAGGTGGTTTTGGGAGCTCAGAAATGGGTCGGAGAGAGTTTGCGGTGGGTGGAGATGTAGAGGTGGGTTTTGGGGGTTGATTTGGTGGGCTATTTGTAGATGATTAGTGTAGGTAATAGGGATGCTAATAAGGAGCTAGGGTTTGGTTTGGGGTTGGGTGGTGGAGGAACAGAAATGGAAGAGAACGAGCTTGAAGAAGGAGAGGCTTGCTCGTATAATAACAATAACGAGGATTATGATGCAAGCATCGACCCTGATATTGCTCTCTCTTATATTGTAAGACTTCCTCCTTTTTATTGACAACATCTTTCTTTTTGCTGCTTATTCTTATTTCAAATTTTTTTTTTTTTTTTTTTGGAGTCTTAAATTGGTTTGGGTTTACTTGTTTGGAATGTTTTCAGATCCAGTATTCTTATATTGTGAGTTTATTTTAATCGCTTGCAATGTTAACTGGACTGAGTTGTAAACAATATGTTATTGGTTTTGAATATTTCTGAATATTTGAACTGATGGATTATGGAACGCAACGGAATTCAATATTAGGAGGTTCTTTTTGTTAATGTCTATGTTGTGTTGGCTGTGTACTTATAAGCAAGGGTTTCTGATTTTAGTTAGGTAGCAAATTTGTGATGAAAAACTTATCTTTTTAGCTGATTAAGGAAGCTTGAAACAGTTGTTTAGAGATGTGCTAAATTAATATAAGAAAATGCATTTTCTACTAACATCTTATTAAAAAAAATGCATTTTCTACTAACATCTTATTAAAATCATGATAAGGTTTGGCTTGTCAATCCCTTAATTATGGTTCTATGGTGAAATTTCTATGGAGTGTGTCTTGCCGACTTCCTTCATTGTGAAAACCATGTGTATAATTTGAGCTGTATGAAGTTTGCTTGCAAATTTGAGTGATATATTGTAACTTTTTAAATTCTAAATCCGGGAATGGGGAGTCAAGAGTACCAGTTCCCTTATGAGGGTTATGAAGCTTAATTGCTCAATGAAAAAACAGTAGCTGTTCGAATGCATAGTAACATAAATGCATCTGAGACTATTCTAATTCCTTGTTCGTTGACTTACTGTGTTACATCTGTAAAAATAAACTATATATTTTTATCATGTATTATTTTAATGTTCTTGAAGGATGAGAAACTTCAACATGTCTTGGGCCACTTCCAGAAAGATTTCGAAGGTGGTGTTTCTGCAGAGAATTTGGGTAAGACTGAAAATGATGGAATTATGGTTTCTTGCAAACTCATAAACAGCCTCACAAAAATTTATTCGCTCTCAAACTGATGAGTTGAGTTTGGGGATTTTTTTTCATATCTGCAGGAGCAAAATTTGGTGGTTATGGTTCATTTTTACCAACCTATCCTCGGTCTCCTGTTTGGTCACATCCAAAGACTCCTCCAAAAGTTCATTATGGCAATGCTTCTAAATCTCCAAATAATATGCAATTAGAGGTAGATTTCTTTTTTAATATGAGACATATTATTATTCTATTATCTTCAACTGGTTCTTCTCTGATTAAAGAACTTCTAGTATACTTCTGCTCATCAATTTTGTTGTTATGCAGAATGGTCGTCATAGCTCTGCAGTTTCTTTATCTGCCCCTCAGTCATCGAGACCTGGACCTGCTTCTAGTTCCACTTCACTGCCTGCTTTGAAGGCACCTTCTATTAATGATTCAGTCAAAGAAGAAGTATCGATGGCATCCACTCATGCTGAGGAATATGCTGGTAGGCATGAATTTGTTAACAAGAAACATTTTCCAGACCAGAAAACTCTGAAGGTCCGAATCAAAGTTGGTTCTGACAACTTGTCGACACAAAAAAATGCGGCAATCTACAGTGGTCTTGGCCTTGATGTCTCACCATCCTCATCATTGGATGATAGCCCTTCAGAAAGTGAAGGGAATGATCGTGAACCTCAAGATGCTCCTTTTGAATCTCCCACCCATATTCTGATGGTGAAATAGTTTTCCGCCATTTTCTCAGTGCTTTATTTCTTACCCTAACATCTTCAAAGTGGTCTAACATGTTTGTATAATTGTTGTGTTGGCGCAGGTCATGACTTCCTTTCCTGTTCCTGGGGGTCTACTGTTATCACCTCTTCCTGATTATCTATTTCACTTAACTGAAAAGGAGAAACTTCTAAAAGATAGTAGATCTGTGCCATTCCCCAGAGCTGGCTTAGAAATTGGTCGCAGTTCACTGAATGGATCTGATTCTAGAAAGAATGATGGGAAAGTAATAGGAGAAAAGAAAGCAAAGTCAGTGGAGAAAAATGATTTTTTTGCAGAAACTAAGAGTGGAAATAACAGGGATGCTCGCAATGGTTTGGGTGTTGTCCACAAGAAGGAGGTGGACATTGACACGTTGGCATGTGAGAAGCTTGTTACTGAAACCTTAAAGCTTCCACTTTTATCCAATTCTTATTCTACTGGTATTGACACTGCAAAAGGTGCAGGTAGGGCATTGGATGCGTTGGGGGAACCCTCTAAGAGGGACCCTCTTTTCTCTGTAACAAAAGAGGAAGCATTGGAGCCAATGTATACCGAAGAGACTGGATGGGATAGTAACCCAAAAGGTGGTTTGGTAGGAAAGTCATGGGAGGATAAAAAGGCTAGTTCTGTGGATGATGTTTCGGCACATGCAAAGACAGATAGCTATTCCAAAAGAGAGAGAACTTTTGACTCAGTCAAAGCTGATTCAAATGTTTTATTAGCGAGGAAAGGTCTAAGTAATGAACTCGTAGATCCTCCCAAGCTGAAGACCAATCAGAGAGCGGCGTCCTATGAACTAGACGGTGTTAAGTTACCTCCTGGAAAGGAGCATCAGTCCTCTGGAGTAAAAAAGAAATCAAAGGGAAGCCAAAGTCATGGTAGTGTGGCTGCAGAGGTCCCAAAACAGAGCTCTAAGGCCAGTTCTTCTTCAGTGTCTAAAAGTAAAAAGAGCAATCATGCAGACCATTTCATGGCTAAAAGGGACACTGAAAATAAATTACATAAGGACAATGTAAAGGCTGAAGATAGGTATAGAGAATTTTTTGGGGACATTGCAGAATCTGAACAAGAAGAGAAAAAGATGAGTTCGTTGGAAATACCTTCTGAAGATAAGCTAAAGGATTTTGATGTAGCTGAAAAAGGCACATGTACCATGAACAATGCTTTGAAGGAGAGATCATATGGTAGGAAAATTGACAAGGTTTCGACACAAGAAGCATATACGAAATCAGCTCCAAATGCTGCCCCTCTCTCTGGACTTGGCGCTGTTTCTGATGTGGCTCAGACAACCCCGGCTACTGTGCTGATAGAAGAAAATTGGGTACAGTGTGACAAGTGTCAGACATGGCGGCTTCTTCCTATTGGTACAAATCCTGATGATCTACCTGAGAAGTGGTTGTGCAGCATGCTTAACTGGCTGTAAGTCCTGTTCTGTTAGCATTGTACATTTCTGACATTCATGAAATGATGGAATCCAGATAAGTTGATTAGTTAACATAGTTGTTAGGATCATGAGCGAGTGACTTACAGGTTTCTGAAAATCAGAAATTATATCTAATGTTGAGGTAATGGTATAGAGAGATAAATTTGTTCTATCACTTCTCCCCCTTTTTCCGTTCTTCTGCAAAGAAACTATGGAAGTAGTATTAATATAAAGGGGGATAAGTGAACAAACTGTCCAAATTTAGGACCTGCCTAAGAGAAGAAAAAACCTACTATTCCGTCCAAAGCCATAACTACTGAAATAAAAGCCAACTGTAACACCTAGCTCACAAAAGCAAACCTATTCAGACCTATACAAGGATAACCTAAAACTCCTTCCCATTTATGTATGAAAAGGATAGAGATGTCCTGGAATTCTCTTGAAATCGATGCTCAAAGGGAAGCTAGAAACCGAACTTTATGTCACAAAAGATTGATGTCTTTACTGCCTTTAGTTTCAACAATTCTGAAATTTCTCATACCAAAATCATTGGAAAACTGCCACAATAGCATACTTCTGCTTTAACCCCCTACCAAAAGCATTTGTCAACTCCAGGAATGTAGAGCTGTTGGAGGTAGGAAAAACCCACAAATTCTTTGCTGCCTGAGTTATTTTTTTATCAAAAACAGATTGCAATGGTACAGTGGAGGAATAGGTGATCGATATTTTTCCTCACTTTTGTGTCACAAAATACACCAATAAGTAAACAAAGGCATTTGGTTATCCTCGAATAACCTCACCTGTCTTGTATCTCGCTGAAGTTTTATTTATCTATCTTCATATTTTTCTAGGCCTGGAATGAACCGGTGTAGTTTTACCGAAGAGGAGACGACAAAAGCTCTTATTGCACAGTACCAAGTCCCTGCTCCAGAGAGTCATAATAATCTGCACATCAATTCTGGCGGTGTTCTACCCAGAGCAAACTTTCCTGATGTTCGGCACCCTGACCCAAATTACCGAAATTTTGGTCCCCATGCCCCTCCTCATGGTGGAAAGAAGAAACATGGTTTAAAGGAAATAGCTGGTGCAACCATCAAAGATAGTCACACTCAGTCATCAAACTCTATGAAGAAGAACATCAGGGCATCTGTGAGAAGTGGAATCTTAAATGATATGGGACAGCCCTCAGTGGTGGGTGAACCAGATAATCGGCAAGTAAGCAGGTCCAGTGACTTGCCTGGGGAGAAGCAAAAACATAAGCAGAAAGAGAAGCATAAAGTACTGCATCCCAGCTCTGATGGAGGTATTGATTTTCAACATTTAAACAGAAATTTATTATTGTTGTGCGCTTGTTTGTTTCTATTATTATTTAATATGTAATGTTATCCTTTTATGAAACATGTGGATAGGTTATACCAAGAGTTTAAAGATGAAAAGCAAAAGGGATCCTGATCAAGAAAGTTCTAAAGCCTTCAAGAAAATGAAGACTGAAGATTTGAAAACTGTTGAAGATTGGATGTCTGACCATGGAGGGGCCCCAGGGAAGGGTGGTCCTAGCTCAAGTAATGGTTTTCCAACTACATCGGTCCGAAAGGACCGGTCTAGGCATAATGATCATTCTTCTAAGGACTCAAAATCAGATACAAAAGACAGGCTACAAGTTTCTGATAAAAAAGTTAAAGATAAAGTTAAGGTTTCATTGGATGACGCTGCTACAAAAAAGAGGAAAATGAAGGATTCTCATGATAATCAAATTTGTTCAGGGTCCCTTCCAAGTACAGGCAATCATCTCCAGGGCGGGAAGAATTTTGTGGAGGAGTTCAGTGATAATGACTACCAGAAGGAAAAGAAGGCTAGGGTATCCAAATCTGAGGGGAAGGAGTCCAGTGTAAGTAAAGGCAGTGCTAAAACTGGCAAAAAAGGTAGTCATACAAAGAACCAGCAACAAGGGCAAGATCTTGGGAGCACTGTTTCTCAACGAAGCCTGGATGGCATGGATAATAAAAGGGATTCTGGACCTGTACAACCTTCAGTAGCAGCCACTTCAAGCTCATCTAAGGTTTCTGGTTCTCATAAAAATAAGGCCAGCTTCCATGAACCAAAAGGTTCACCAGTGGAGTCAGTTTCTTCATCTCCTATGAGAATTTCTAATCCAGATAAGGGTACATCTGCTAGAAGGAATCTCAATGGCAAAAATGAGTCTCATGATGCTGATTTTCTTGTCATAGGTAGCCCAAGAAGATGCTCTTATGATGAAGATGAGGGGGGGAGTGATAGATCTGGGACAGCAAGGAAGGAAAAATTTACTGAGGCTCAGCATGGATCCCTTGAGTCTGTGCTAGATATTCAGGATAAAGATTTTAGTCACTTGTCAGGTGGAAAAGCTAAAGCGATTGTGCCTTCTCCTGATATAACAGCTCGTCATTTTACAAATAGTAGTGCAGATTATATTTGCCAAGATACTCAACATCCTAGGAAACCACCAATTGCAGATGATTTTCATGACGAGGAAAGACAGAATAATAACCATTATCATGCTAATGGTTCTCGTTCAAGAAAGTCTGGAAAGGGGTCATCTTCCCGGTCCAAGGAAAAAAGTCGGAGTTCTAAATCCGATTCTGTCAATGAATTTCATGAGCATGCTCCGTCTTATGAAGCTAAAGCCAGGGATACTAGAAACAAGTTCCAGGAGAAGTTTGGGGTCAAGTCTGATGAAAATGAGAAGAGATATATTGATAAGAAAGACACTGCTGGAAAATTGTCTAGTGAGAGTTTTAAAAGAGAGAATCAATCAAATTTAGGGGGGCATGATGGTCCAGATGCTAAAGTAGATGCTCCTTGTAGTCAGGATGCAACATCCAGTCCAAAACGGAGTCTCATGCAAGACTGCAATGGTGAAAGATCTTCAAAGACTTTTGTCTCTGACAAAACAGATCAAGTTGAACTTGTCCCTGGAAGAGGGAAATCACTGTCATTACCACCTGCTGGAGGATCTCAAAGTGACGCACCGGTTCTTTGCCCTCGACCAGCTCCTGGGTCCCACAAAGGAAATGGATCAGACATTTTGGCAGCCGATGCTTCCCAAGTTGATGATGCATCAAAGGTGCCAAAACATATCAGGAAGGCTGATCATCAGAATGGCCAGCATAGTAGTTCAAGACATGCCACACAGAATGGGCACAGGGTTAGGGATCTTGATGCCCCAAGTCCAGCGAGAAAGGATTCTTCAAGTCAATCTGCTACAAATGCTGTGAAAGAAGCTAAAGATTTGAAGCACATGGCTGATCGTATGAAGGTTTGTACTTTATTATTATTATTTTTTTTTGGTATTTCTCATGTTGTTTCTGCCTAACTCTTAGCAAGATGGGGTTATCTTCTGCAGAACTCTGGGTCAAATGAGAGTACAGGGCTTTATTTCCAGGCAGCCCTCAAGTTTCTTCACGGGGCTTCTCTTTTAGAATCTAGCAGCAGTGAGAGTGCCAAGCATGGAGAGATGATACAGTCAATGCAAATGTATAGCAGTACTGCAAAACTCTGCGAGTAAGTCAATATTGTCGCTGTATAACTGAATTAAGGACCTTTCTAATTTCTGGCATATTTGTTCCTTATTTGAAGTAATTTTGAGATATGGGAGTTTATTTGTGTAATTAAATCACTTTCATTTTTAAGTAGGTTCAGTTAACTGGGATGTTTTTTTTATTTATTTATTATTTTTTTTTTTGTAATACTAACATACAATCTAGGACATTTGCTTGCTCAATTGATTGCCAGCATATGCAGTAGGATGACTCCTAGTGCTTCTAATGAGTGTACTTTGTCTGAATCTTGAAACCTATATGCCTCTTGGGGTCAAAAACCCGTAGTTGCAATTTCACCCTGATGGGTTTATCTTTCAGCCCTTCTCTTATTGTGCCTTCTGTTGCAATATAGCAATATTTTGCTCCTTATAGTTTCTAAAGTTATACAACACTTAAGAAACATATGCTTGCAAGAATTGAGATGAGCGTGTTTTTCTGCTACCTTGGGCAAGGGCCTTCATCTGAGATTGGTAGAAAGCAACAATGAGGCTTTAGTCCCTAATTCCTGACGGTGATCTGCACTTTTGTTGTGCTTTTTCCTTCCACGGTTCTTATATATATATATATATATGTTCAGTATATTGTTACTGTTAAGCTACTTGTACATATGCATATAGAATCCAGTCGGAACTTTTTATGGAAGATAGTGACTTAAATCCTTTTACATTAGACTTTACTGTTCTGTTGGTACAATATTTGTGGTCTATTGTAATTATATTGAAATCAATTTAAAATTTTGTTGACTTCTATGTTTTATTGACATTTTTAGGTTCTGCGCCCATGAATATGAGAAATCTAAAGACATGGCTGCTGCTGCGCTGGCCTACAAATTGATGGAGGTAGCATATATGAGGGTTATTTATTCATCACATACCAGTGCAAGCAGAGATCGGAATGAGTTGCAGTCAGCTATACAAATGGCTCCTCCTGGTAATTTGAACTAACCCATGGTCTAAAGATGTTATTTATTTGCTTTATGAAATTCTCTTGTATTGTTTGTTCATGAAGAAATTAATACTTGCTGTTTGCTTGTGACTCCTGTGGTTCTGTCAATTAGAATTAGGTGGCATGTGTACAGATCTAACTTTGAATTTTCACAAGTGCAACCATGAAAATAGCTTGATAAAAATTCAGTACTTAGGATTGCAAAACCCTTGTGTCTGGAGTGTGATGGTCTATTATCTCTCTTAAGAATCATATTGCTAAAGATAATATGTGATATGTATCAGCTAAAGGGAAAGAACCCCCATGCTAATGTAGTGGTGAATCTTCTGGATTCAAATTCTGTATGATTAAATTAACCTAGAGTGCCTATTAGTCCCTGGACTTCTGAACTATGTAGTAGGATGAATGGTCCTAGATATTGTTATATGAGAATAATCTGGTCTCTTTTATATACTTTTTATTATGAACAATAAACATAGAAAATTCTTTTGTGGCTACTGTACTTCTGGGTTTTGTTCTCATTATTTTGGAATATGCGAGTTAATTGAAATGAACTACATAAATGAGGTAGATGTAACATATGCACTTAAGAAGGTAGGAGAGAAGTAAACACTACTTTTGGAATAATATGTTAATGATTACACTTGTCTTGTTATAGGTACTAGAATTAATCTGTATGTTGGTTAGAAGGTCATCTTTGTTTAGTGGGTTGTGGATGTGAAAACCAAATTAACTTTTTGTGAGGACTTTGATTAGTTTACTTACGTCTCTTACAAATGCCTCTTTCTACTTGTTACTCTTAAAGTAAGAAGATTTTTGCTTAGAAGAGTGAAGGAAGGGACCTGGGTTGTGTTTGGTTGATTTCTGTAGAATTTTTTTCGCTCATAGCCCTGATATGACATACCCTCTGCCCTTGTTCCTCAGTTAGGGAACTGGTGATGCTTTCTGATGCCATAGGGCAATTTCCTGGCTTTTAATCATTTACCTCAGACAAAGAACCTGATATTTCAAATCAGAAAAATCTTTGCTAATTTCGGTTTTCCTGAAATTAAATGTAGCTCATTTCATTTTTCACCAATTTTTTATCAGTGAAACCGTCTAAACATGAGTGCATACATCATTATTTGTTATTTAGTAACGGCATGTAGCACCAATATTTGGTTGTGATATTAGTATTGAAAAATATCAAGATATTATACAATACTTCGAAGAAATTGGCCAGGACATTTCTATTGAGCTAATCTATATTGTAACAAGAACTCCAAGTGAAGCTATGCTGATCCTGATACATCTTTGGCTGATGCTTATTGCATCCTTAGATGCATTAAAGCCACATCGTAACATCTTTTTTATGTTTTATGTTAACCTTTCTTTATTATTATTTTTTTTTTTTACCAGTGATTTGCTGTTCTGGTGTGGCTATGCTAAACGAGACTAAATGATTGTAGTAACCACCTTTTTATTTTTATTGACATGGTGTTGTTTTTCTTACATTTCAGGTGAGTCTCCTTCTTCTTCTGCCTCAGATGTTGATAATTTAAACCACCCAACAACAGTAGATAAGGTTGCATTACCAAAAGGTGTTAGCTCTCCACAAGTAGCTGGAAACCATCTCATTGCTGCCCGGAACCGTCACAATTTAGTTCGTGTGCTCAATTTTGTAAGTATAATTACCTGGTTAGAAACTTTGATTTATACTTTTGCAGAAGTTTTATTAAAGAAAATATGATTAAGTATTCACAAACTGGGCCCTATAATTATAATGGATGCTGTATTTCAATTAAAATTTTGTTAGGAAAAGCTTGGCCACATTAAATGTCCTGAAAATTATGCATTGTCTCCATTAATATATCTTGTACTCAAGCATCTGGAGGATTTTTCATTCTATTCTATGTTTCTGTGATGGTGTCATGCATTTCCAGGATGTCTAAATGTCAAGCACACAAGTTTATCTATAAAGTGATGTTGGTTGACTTCCTAGCGTTGCTGCTCTAATTGATAATGTTCACAGATATGTTTCGTTTATATGGGATTAGGCAAGTATTAACACCTTCAAACTTGTTGTGTTACAGACACAGGATGTAAATTTTGCAATGGAAGCTTCAAGAAAATCTAGGAATGCCTTTGCAGCTGCTAATGGAAGTTTGGGGGAGTCCCAACAAAGGGAGGGTATTTCTTCTATTAAAAAGGCTCTTGATTTTAACTTCCAAGACGTAGAAAGATTACTTCATTTGGTACGGGTAGCAATGGAAGCTATCAGCCGCTAAAAAGAGCCTAAATGTTTGTTGGGTATGATGTTGACCCTGGAATTGAAAACAGTTGTTTGATTAGTATATCCATGGGTATCTGGCCCAAAGGGGGAGAAGAGAGTCTACCTTGGTTTCTCTGCTGCTGCACGTGATATTTTTGTCATCACCAATTCAATGACTTGGCTTCTTGTAAATGTGTGCAATACCAAATTAATTTGGAATACATATTAATTCTTCTTTGAGGCTTCAGCTGTTTTTGGACACAGACAAGGACCAACCTTGTCCATTTCCTTCTCAAGATTGGTATTCTTGATGTGTGAGTGTGCTGCAGAATTGATCATGATCTTGAGCAACAAGGTGATTCATGGTTCAATATGATTATTGTTGAAGAAAAATGAATGTATGAGTATAGGATCAAATTATAGATGGATGTGGGGTGGTAGGATTCTGATACCAGAGGTTGCCATATTTCGGCATTTTTTCTGGAGGGGTTTTCAGTTTTTCCGTCCTGTTAATTTGTTGTTTACTATTAACTTGAAGACATCTCGAGGATGGGAATTGCTAAACTGTGCATGAGCATCATGATCTGAATTTTTCCAGCAGAGACTGCGCCAACTCTGGTTGGATCAAAATGTTAACAGCGCTATAGAGGTGGCAGTCTCAGGTTGGATATCATCTCTTCTTTTGTCATACATATAAAACCAAGCTTTTTGTTTCATTTATCCAAAGTTTTTTAATATTCTTTTTTCTCTGATTGTGCAGGTCCAGTTTTACAGCTACTGTAACGATTCTTAGTTTGCTGTTGATAGACAAGTAGGAAGAGTTAGAAAATTATATGGTGGAAATAAAATACAACCTGTAGCTTCTAATAATAAGATCATCTGTGCATATTTTCATTGTAAGGTTTGTGAAGTAGTTATTATTGGAAAATTTTTGTTTGGACCATTCACCGTATGGGTATTACCTCTAACTTTTCTGCTTTTTGTTCTTTTATTGGACAGTGGCTATTCATGTACATAAACACATCATTCAATTACCAACATTCTGGGAATAGGGCAAACACCATCAGCATGTACCGATGGTAACACGTAAGTGTACTTCTCAATAATTCAAAAACACTCAGCAGATTTACAAGTTTTAATCTGTTTACTGTGTGAAATTGATCAGTTTTATGTGGACGGTTGTTAAAGATGATGCCAATCAATTTTGAAATGACAATATGATCATTTAATGATTACTTTTTGTTTTAATCTTTGAAGCATGGCGAATGCAAGCTGAAGGTTGTCTTTGGTTTCAGGGTAAGCATCTGAGAACAAACAGTTGTGGCAGCCTGAGAGTTGGCTATAAATGAATTGAGCTGATGGAGTCTATGCGTCCTTCTTTCACATATATATATTGATATACATAAAATATCTTGATGGGTAGTCGGTAGGTTAGATTTATACAAGTTATTGAAATTTTGATCTCTTATTGCTGCTCACTTAGTTTGTTAAATGTACAGTAACAGCAACATTTATTCAAGTCTGTAGTAATAAATTTTGTAACCCAGGATGTTATAGTAAGTTGCTTTCTTGATCAATGATTTTGAGCTAGAATGGATGCTGGAGGTGTTATTACTGATCCTAAATGCCAAATTTGAATAAAATGAATGTGGAGTAAGCTGTACTTTTTGTTGTGTTCAAGTATGTTTTGTTTTTGTTGATGGGTTGAATTTTCAAATGGACATACAACCGATTAAGGTTTTGACTTTGAAATCAACACAAAAAATTATTAAAGTTATCGATATTTTTCTTTGGGAGCACGCCATATAGCAGCTAATGAAAAGACACCCACTATCTATTTAGATATTCATTAAGATCTTCCTACCAATACAATTAAGGTTCAGCCATGGGATTGGGACTTGGGAGCCGCTTTAATGAGAGAGTTAAATGCTTAATTTGTAAAAGTTAAACCTCCTATACGTGTCTAATCAATCTACCATTATATAACATTGTTACTTGTAGAATTCAGTTTAAAGGTCTTAAAGAATGCATGTAATTTTAAACTTAACTAACTGGACAATCCCAATTACATGATTTAGAACAAATATCTACATTCAGTGCCTCTCTCCGGTTAATAGAATTTTCCTTTAATTAATACAACTAAAATCAATTGTTTCTTCAACAGCTTTATCAATCAATTTCTCACTTCACCCCTTCTTCGGGATATTATCCACTAACATTTGTATTGCATTGCACAAGTTCTTTCAGGGCCTAGTATCAACAGCCCGTCATAATTATTAATTTTAAAAAATAAACAATAATAAAAGATTACTCGTAAATCATAAAAGATGTGTCGGTGATCCTTCAACGTCAACTTAAGAATGTAAATCATTCTATTGAATATAATTAATATCCGATGTCAATTTTACCGGATTCAATTTGAAAGTGACCGCCGTAGATTCAAACAAGCACGGTATCAATAATTTGGTCCCCGACTTTTGGCATAAACTCTTTAGTTTGTACAATTGTTTAGTAACATTTTGGTCCCCGATTTACTACTGTCTACTAGTGTCTAGCTGTCACCGTTGCTGAAGAAATTAAAGCGTCACTCAGAACTCCTATTATTTTGCCCAAATATTTGTTGTATAAATTACGTTTACAAAGTGTTGATCAGCTTTGAATATTTACTGCAGAGAAGGAACTGGGAGATGATAGCACAAAAATTAGAGTAATGTTACAGCCATCAAAAGTTACACACCGAATCTGTACACCGAATGACGTGATAAAATCCTAACCGTTGATTCATTATTAGTTATATTAATAACGGTTAATATTTTACCATGTCATTCAGTGCATAACCTTCGGTGGCTCTACCATTTTTCCGAAATTAAGCTCCACCTAACTTAACTTGGAAGTGGGAGAAAAAAAAAGAAGCGAAATGAATCAAGGACAAGGTCATGACGATTACTCTGTTAGAAAAAAAATCAATAATGTTCCTGTTAACCTTTTTTCTTCTTTTTTTTTTTTTTTTTTTTTTTTTTTTTTTTTTGTTGGGGGGGTTGGGGTTTTCACAAAACTGAGGTAAAGTGCACAAAAAATTCCAGTCCTGGTATCTGACTCCTGTCAGTAAAGAAGACACCACAACTACACAGCATTTACAGAACTTGGGATTCCAATTTTACTTTTTCTAGCCCTACACCTTTGCAGCGCATGCGCATCCCACTCCCCCTTTGATTTAGGCCAAATACCTAAACATGTTTGGGTTTTCCTTGTCCCTCTCCAGATAATCTCTTGTGATCAAATCTTCCATCCGCTTCTTAATTGCTTTAATATCAGGCTGCACGTTCCAAGTCAATCATATCAAATTAATAATTACAAGTCAACATCAATTCCATATCAAATATATATGAGTAATACTATGCTTACTCACGAACTTACTAACCGCCTTACTCACCTTTGTTAAAATTACATATAGTACCCGCTTATGGTACCCGTACTATGCTTTATATTTTACACACGTTAGTAAGATGGTTAGTAAGATCGTGAGTAAGCATAGTATTATTGAATATATATTGATATAACATATATAAAAATTATTCAATAAACAAAGTGTTTCCTCATTTCTTCCGAATCAAGATATAAATTGGAGAGTATGTATACCTTGAACATGCGGCTCAACTGCTCTACACACTCTGAAACTAATTGTTGATGTCCCAAAACTTTCCGACTCTTCATTATACGCACAATTGCAGCATCAATAGCATATCGCCTATCTTTGTCAACATCTTCAACAATTTTCCTCCTTTCATCAACTGGTGGGAGAGGAATCTACATACAGTTGGACAATTCACATGTTCATGAGATATTAATTCAAGCTCATCGCAACATATGCCAGAAATTATGTACCAAGTAAAAATAGGAGTAAAAATCCGACAAGGGAAAAGAGAAAAGACAACATTCTCATACCTTAATCCTCCTCATTCTGTCTGTAAACTTGGAGTTGAACTCAAAGTAGTCATTTTGTGAGATGGTTTTTGTGTTTGGCTCCTTTATAAGGATCTTATACTTGGCACATGACAACGAATGGAGCAATCTAACCAAGTCCTCATGAGTCAAGTTCAGCTGAGTCATGATTTCTGAATAGCTCAATCTATCCGAAGCATTAAACAGCAGCAGAGTGGCAGCCTGTAAAATTCAGACAGCAAAAAATTTAGAAATCTCGCAATTCAAACCAAACCCCTCAAAAAGTATAATTCTGTAAGGCATTACCTGATATGTTGACACAATCAGTTCAATGGTTTTTTGATCAAACTTGCCACTGATGTTGCACTGGCCCAATGAGTATATCCATGTAAGTTTTCGGTGTTTTGTTTTTGTCTCGTAAAATCCCTTAAAAACTTCAACACACTTGACCTGGAACCATAATATTGCAAAATAAGTTAATATATATACATCTATTAATCATCCTGACTGCAACTTTACTGCAAATTTTAAACTAATAGAGGCTATTTTATATTCCTACAATTTAAAGAAAATAGAAGAAGCGATTACCATTTCTGAAGGGAGGTTGAGATCAGAGGACTTATAACTTGGCCAAAATCCAGTGGTAAGAACAGTAACTGATAAATCAATCCCAGGGTGTGCAATCGGGTTATTGCCAAGATATTCCTCAAAGTTGCCTTGATTTTCCCTAGCCAAAGTCAAATCCGTAACCTGAAAGAAAGATGCTAAATGAAATCAAAATATAATCATATAAAAAGATTAAAAAAACTTAGCCCAAGAATGCAGGCCAAACTACCATTCCCTCCATCTTTGATGTAAACTGCCCACCACACTGTTGCTTTAGCTTTGTGAGAATACTCCTTTCATGATCATCATTAGCACTCCGATCAAAGAGTAGCCGCCGAGCAAGCTTTTTCCTGCATCAAGCAGCAGGAAAAAAAAAGCACAGAATTGTTCGTAAATAAATGAATTAATTAAGCGCATTATAGAAGTTTTGACTTTATCATACAATAAATATACCATGATACCAAATGAACACTAATATAATAATAGATCTTACCGGTAGAATTCAGCAAATAGATCTTTATCACTTATATAAGCAAGCAACTTAACTACCTGCAGAAACGAACCACATAGTTTACTATCAATATCTATGATACTGAAATAAAAATTAATAGAGTTCCAACATATTGATACTAGTCACTCATGAACCACTTAATCAGGATTACTCTTTATCCAAAAAATCTTCAACCTTATCTTAAGGTC